GTGCACATTTACACGCCAGGCACAGGGATAAGCCGTCAGAACAGCGAGGTCCCTGTTCTCCTGGAGCTCCCATTCTGGTAGAGGGAGAAAGACAACAGGAGTAAATACACACACCGGCCAATCAGGCAGCAGTTCCTGCCAGGAAGAGCAGGAGCAGAAAGAACACTGAGAGCGAGTCCTGGCTGGCTGCTCCGGCCGGGCATCCGGAAGGCTCTCGGGGGGGCATGACCTGTGAGTTAAGATTTGATGAGAAGGAGCCACCCTTGAAGAGCTGAGTGCAGAGCATTCCAGACAGAAGGAATATTTGGTGCAAAGGCCTTTGGACTAGGGGAAGCTTGTTCTGTTTGGGGTACAGACAAAAGACGGGTGTGTGGGGAACACGGGAGAAGGAGGGGAGTGGGTCGTGGTCTCCCCCCGCTTTCTCTGTGGTCGTGGTCCCCCCCGGCCCTCTCTGTGGTCGTGGTACCCCCCACTGCTGTCTCTGTGCAGTGATGGCCCCCACCCCTACTCTCTCTACGTGGTGATGGCCCCATACCTCCCTATCCAGCCCTGCCCTCCACCTAGGGCCAGATGTGCGTGCCTGCCCAATGCTCAGCACCTCGAAACCTGCAACCTTAATTGTCAAGTGACTCGTCAGAAACGCAGTCTGCCCTGTCGCCCACTCCTTACATGACTCTGTCTGGCTCAGTGGCCCGTGACATCCCTCGGCCAGCCTGTCCTCTGCCTGGCTCCCCCGGCAGCCATGAGGCTGTCCTGCCTCAGGGCCTCGGCACCTCTGTCCCCTGCTGCAGCCCTGCCCAGATAGTCCGTGGCTGTCTCCCTGGCATCACCGTGCTCAGCTCGGGCCCGTCTGCATGTGCCATCCCTCACCTTCGTCAGAAGCTGGGCTCTTCTTTGGCTCATGAGCTGTTGACTCCGCCCTGGAGTGGAGGTTCCGTGACAGCAGCAAGCGTTACTGTCTGGTCACGGCGGGCTTCAGCGTGGAGTTGTGACGCAGTGACACAACCCAAAGCTGGTGCCATAGTGGCAACCGGGGTGCCCAGGGCATGTGGGGTGACAGCCCAGAGCTGTCCTCTGTCCCTAGCCTTGGGAGAGACTTCGAGTGACTCAGGTGGTCGGACAGGAGTGGCCTCTGTCATGTCAGGCCTGAGGGACGGGAGAGCGCGGAGCCTGAAGAAGAGTGGTGCTGCCTGGGGCTGCACTCAGGCTGGCGGCCATCCGGGAGAGCTTTCCGCAGAGCACAGCCGTGGAGGGCCCCAGGGCCGGTGGGGAGACACCCTCCGGGGACAGGCCGGCACCCATAGCCTGAAGCGGGAGGGTCGGTCTTCCCCGGGTGTGCTTCCACAGGGCAGGGCCAGGCTTGGGGACGCACACGGCCAGGGCTCTGGGTGGGCTCTGAGAGGTGAACCAGGCATGATGGGAGAGACGGTGGGGCTGGGGAGCCCGTCTCCCCACTTAGCACCTGTCACCCTACAGGGCCTCCTGGGGGCTCGCAGGGCCGCGGGGTGGGGTCAGCCGACCCAGCTCGGTCTCCTCCCGGCTGTGTGCAGGGGAGAGTTGCACTCCCAGGGCTCGGCTGAGCGCCTGCTGCCCAGAAAGCCTGAAATGGTGACCAGACCAGGCATGTGCAGGGCGTGGGTGGGGAGCTCCATGGAGGAACCTTGTCAGAGAGGACGCCGGGGTTGTCAGGGACACAGCGGTGTCCTTCTGGGTGTCCCTGAGCCCCAGCAACAGAGAACGACCCTCCTGATGATCACATTCTTGGTATTTTTGGTTGTTGTTTTTAGTTTATTCCTCCCGTGAGTGAGAGCTACGGAGAGAGAGGAGACAGCACCCTCCCTAGGTCGCTGCCACGACCCACCCAGCCGGCCTGCATCGTGGTGTGCTCAGGGAGGTCCTAGATGCCAACCCAGAACCTCCCCGGGAGTCGGTCCCAGTGATGCATTTTCTCCTGGGCCATCACCCAGCCTTTTTTTTTGAGAGGTTTTCGCTATAGGGCGCGTGCGCTCGCCAGACAGACAGAGAGACAGAGAGACAGAGAGACAGAGAGACAGAAAGCGAGAAATCACCCCCTAGCGGGGATGGTCACGCCACAATCCCTTCTCCACCATTCTCCTCTCGGGATCTTGGGCACGCACGCAGACGCGCCTGGTGTGAGTTTTAAGTCACCGGGTCTGGGACGTGAACCGCGGTCGACTATGTGGGAGTCCAGCGACATAGCCATTCCGCTAACGTCTGGT